TTTTTTTAGTTTTTATTTGGAAACTTTAGGTTCATGTAAAGTACTCAAGATAGCACCAATGGTTCAATAAGACCTGGTGCATACAAAAACATATACAACATTTTTAAAACTTACATGTATAACTAAAAATGTAAGCAACTCAGATATTTCAAGGTTTTGTGTCTCAGTCTCTTTCTCTTAATAAAAAGGCTTAAAACTGCATTTTAGACTGCAAGTATGCATGCACGCATGATGTGCAAGATGTAAATATAATAATTATATAAGCTGAATATTGAACAAAAGTGCAACAGATTCAGAGGTGATAATGACTTACAAGTTTTAATACTTGTATATGTACTGTTGTACAGCTAACTGTTGACAATATCCAGTTAATACTAAAGTAGTCTAAAATCCAGTACACTCTAAGTGAATAAACCTCGAAAAAGCTCAAATCTCAGTTTCATAAATGCTGTGAACGACAGACAGTTATCATAGGCTTTCTTGTGCTCAGAATTAGTGCTGCTTTTTGAAAAACAGGTGCACATTCTCAACTTCATCTTGCACTGAAAATGTAAATGGGCGATTGCCTTCCAGCATTACAGGACCATAAAAAATACAACTGCAATGTACCCTGTCGATGTCATCTCATCTTGGCCAGTCATAGGTGGCAGAGCTTATGCTGTGTAAAAACTTGAGTTCTACAAAGCCGTCTTCAACAGAAATCACCCGGCCAAAATAAAAAGTTGTGACATAGTCTACAGCAAAGTACATCCCGACCTCTACCCCCTTAGATGGTACTGGGCTGAGATGTTGAACATGGAGATCATGAATAATGGATTTCCTCACATCCACCATGTCCTTGTTAAGGACAAGAGGACAGGAAAGAGCAAGGGCTCTTGCAAACATGCAAACAAACACACCACAATCATAATCTGTTTCTTGTTGTTGTATATCATTAGAACTGTTTACATGAAAGGACCAGTCCCCTGGACTAAGCTGATTATCTGCCACAAGCAATGCACTCCACATCTTACAGACAGCTCTTTGGTGGGTGAGCTTGACAAAACTGCCAGCTGCACTATCAAGCACAATAATATGGTTTATCTTAGGCAGAACACAAAGAAGAAACCAGTGGTGGTTCCCAAACGTGATTGTAGGGGACAAAAGTAAAATCTTCCTCCAAGACCTTGCCTTTCTTAAGGAAGTCATTAGCAAGTTTCTTATTACTGAGTTTCTCAAAACTCTCCCAGTTGATAGCAGTTACTGTACAGTTAACAGACATGGCTGAGAGCAACTTTAGGTATGCATTGATCACAAAATTTGGTAGCCACTTGTCCTCTGAATGCAATGCTTCATCACCTGACAGTGCTTTAAGGTCTTGAATGGATATTAAATGATCTCCCCTAAAAGTAACAGCTACACCCAATAAGGCTGCTACAATTGGCTCATGGTAAAAGGGAAGGTTGAATGAAGTAGTAGATGTTAGCTTTCTTCTTATTGCTGAGGGCAATCAGTGCTTAATGTTCAGGGTAACCCTTGAATTACTTGCAACTATCTGTTGTGAATTTGATGGAAAAATATGTGCCACTACCTCAACTTCATAATCACTTTCTGGTTTCTTACTCTTGTCACTGGCTGGTGTCTGACTCTTTGTGCTGCTTGGTTTATCACTCCAGTCACTGGCTGGTGTCTGACTCTTTGCACTGCTTGGTTTCTCACTTCTGTCACTAGCTGGTGTCTGACTCTTTGCACTGCTTGATTTCTCACTCCCATCACTGGCTGGTTTCTGACTCTGTGCACTGCTTGATTTCTCACTCCCATCACTGGCTGGTGTCTGACTCTTTGTGCTTCTTGATTTGTCACTTCTGTCACTAGCTGGTGTCTGACTCTGTGCACTGCTTGATTTCTCACTCCCATCACTGGCTGGTGTCTGACTCTCGATCCCATAAGCGAGAGTCACGGAAAACAGTCAGTACACTCGACGAGTACTTCGATGAATCCAGTGACAGCGATGACGAAAACACCTTCCATCTAAGCATCCACAGTGTTAACGGAAAGAACATTAAGCAGCCATTGTTCAAGGTCAAGATCAATGGTACCTGGCTGACTCTGATGGCCGATTCAGGATCTAGTATCACCATCCTAGACGAGAAGGACTTCAAATCACTTCAGAATCGACCACGCGTGAGCGACACCACGACAGAGCGAAAGACGAAGGGCTGACGCTCGAAACGTCAGCTTTTTTGTTCGTTACGATGGCCAATTTACAATTTCAACTTAGTTGATATAACCAATTATCTTGTTACCCCCACCGACGCAGCGCCACAGTTTCTTTATAAACTTTCAGCCTTTATTCATTGATCCGAAGAAGGTCCAGGCGATAACCAATCTCCCACCACCAATTAACGTCGCAGAAGTGCGCAGCCTCCTTTGTATGACTAATTACTGCTCCAGATTCATTCCTGCTTACGCAACGCTAACACAGCCTCTCCGTGAGCTGACCCAAAACAACATGCCTTGGAAGTGGAGCCAAAGGCAAGACCACGCCCTTCAGCAGCTCAAGACCGCGCCGGTGGGCTTGGGGCAATCCTGGCTCAAACTGACCCCATCACTGGAGACAAGCACGTGGTTACGTACGCAAGCAGGCCCTTGACTCCTGTAGAACAGCGCTACAGTGAGACTGAGCGTGAAGCTCTTGCTGTTGTATGGGGATGTGAATATTTTTACCTAAACGTCTATGGCAAACCGGTAACTGTCACCACAGATCATAAGCCGTTACTTGCGATATACAACAATCCTCGGTCAAAACCACCACCACGCATCGAGAGGTGGACACTGCGCTTACAGCCATGCCAAGTGAGAGTTGTGTACGAGCAAGGAGAAGGAAACCCGGCTGACTATATGTCCCGACACCCTGAGAAGTCAACGCTCTCCAGCAGTCGACAGCAACGCGTGGCAGAAGAGTTCGTGAACTACATCACACACGCTGCCAAGCCCAACGCACTCAAGCTAGAGGACATCAATCATGCAGGCAACTATGAAAGATCCAACCCTTCTAGCTGTCATTGATGCTGTGCGTACCTGCAACTGGTTTGAGCCGTCCAAGCAATTCGACATTAACCAAAACGCGTACAAAGCTCTTGAACGGGTCAAGGAAGAACTAACCATCTGCAGTTGCTTGAGTGTACTCTTGAGAGGAAGACGGATCATTGTCCCTGAAGTCTTACAACAGACAGTAATTGATTTCGCACACGAAGGTCATCAGGGCATCACGAAAACAAAGTTACTGCTTCGGGAGGTGTGGTTCCCAGGTATCAACGACGCAGTAGAGAAGGAAGTGAAGTCCTGTCTTGCATGCCAAGTGACGACCCCAGAAACCAAATGCGAGCCCCTTAACATGTCACCGCTGCCAGAGGGACCATGGCAACAGATTAATGCAGATTTTAAGGAACTTTCTGGTGGAGGATACTTACTCGTCCTCTACGACGACTTCTCCAGATACCCCATTGAAGAGGTCATACCGTCAGTGTCTGCACCAGTCTTCATACCACGTCTCCACAAAGTATTTGCAGAGTTTGGTGTACCGGCGAAAGTGCGCACTGATAATGGCCCGCCGTTCAACGGAAGAGAGTTCCAGTCCTTTGCAAAGAACATGGGATTCGACCATCGAAAGATAACCCCAAATGACCACGTGCCAACGGATAAGCTGAACGATTCATGCGCACGGTTAAGAAGACGATCGAAGCTGCAAACATGGAGCAACGTCCCTGGAAAGAAGACTCACACGAGATGCTTCGCAACTACAGAGCAACACCGCACTCGTCAACAGGCAAGCCACCAGCCACGGTTTTATTCAACAGGCCCGTGCGCGTTAAGATTCCTGACATACCCAGTTCTGAGGAGGACCCAGCATCGATACCACACCGAGACATGCTGGCTAAGGAGAAGATGAAGAACAATGCTGACTGGAAAGCATATGTGAAGCCAAGCAACCTCATGACTGGAGACAAAGTTCTAGTCAGGCGTGACCCCTCCGAATTAATTCCAGAACACCTTATCATCCTGAACCCTACGTCATCACTCACCGCAAGGGTACGATCATTACTGCCGAGGGCGGGAGAAAAAACATCACCCGAAACTCTTCGTTCTTCAAGAAGCTGGAGCGCGACGTCCAGGTCACAGTTGGTGGACCTGTGCATGACAGCCTAGCTCCCCCAGCTCTGCCTATTGATGCTAAGGAGACTACGCTGTCAAAACCTGCTGAGTGTGGACCTCGTCGTAACCCGCAGAGACACAGACGACCCCCTGCATACCTCAAGGACTTTGTCTAAGACCTCTTGAAACCCAATGAGGAACGTTTTCATGTTATTTTTTGTTCACTCTGCACTAGATGCTCAGAGTCGGTTTTATATTTTGCTGTAGTTTCGGTATAGTTTAGTTATAATGCAAAGTGGGTAGGAATGTCGTGACCACTTCCGGTTGTCGTTTTGTTACCCGTCAATCATGTAAATTTCCGATGGAGTAAGGGGGAGAGAGAGAAGAGCTCGGCACGGTTGTAAAAACTTGGAGTTCAACAAATAAACCGCTTCGTGAAATAACATTCTAGCGTGCAGTCAATACACTACAGACGTGACTCGTGAATATTTCCTTCCGTTTCGTGGAAACGTCAAAATTTTTACCTGTAACCTTGTTTGAAATGTATGTCACGCGCGAATTTTTCTAAATTTCGGGCGTGACAGGATCAGGGACCTTTCCCCGACGTCAGAAAAACGCGCGAAACTCCTCTTTAACCCGTTACCAGCCTTGGACGTGATTTCATTCAAGATGGCGGCCAAATCGTAAGTCGACGATGAATATTCATCAGTGGTCTTTTGTGATTATTCGATTCATTTGAATAGGGCTGTTTACCCGTTACCAGTCGATGCACTTTTTTCAAAGCCGCAGTGTTTTTCTTTCAGACCCGTAAGGAACGCTGCATCTTCAAATCCCGGGAAGCACCCCGATAGCAACTGCATTCGCAGCAGACCTTTCGTCGTAAAAGTAAGCTGTTGCGTGTAACTTACTCCTGTCACCTTCACGATTATAGACTAACATGCGTTTGTGTATCTTATATAAACTTCTAAGTCGAGTTTAAGTTTCATGGCGGGAAGAGCGGACCTTAAATGATTTAAGTCGGAATGGTGATCACATCTTCGATTTGGCGTTTCGCGCAACCAGCCATGTGCATCAATCTGCAATAAACCCCTGATGTATTGCGAGCACAGGCCTCATGCATGTGAAGCTTCTGATCAGTTTGTGGAAATAGATTTAAGATTCTACTTAATAGTGGCTCGTTACTTGACATAATTTCTTTGGAGTTTGCTTCATTGTGATTTTACAATCAGTTTGGTCAGAGCAAGTATGATAAGTCATACAAGCAAGGAAAAAGCAGAACATTATGAAGGTCAAGAGGAGAGGGCAAATTTTGCAAAGATCTTTGAACCTTGAAAACTAGAGGAACTCAAGAGGCTTGTGAAGATCAATAAACCTAAGTTTTAGTGTAGTGTGCAATTTGTGTCCTCCTTTCATTCCCCCCCCCCTCAAAAAAAAAAAAAAAAAACCATCACAAGGGCCTTGAACACTAAAGTACACCCCAGCATCAGTTAACATGTTCTTCATGCTGTTCTCTTAACATTTCCTAAGGTGCAGATAAAGACAATTTGTCCAACAATCAACAGCTGCTTTATTGGGTGATCATTTTCTCATTTCTCATGACCTTAATGTTTGATTCAGCGGAGATATTGTAAGGAGAAATTAGATGCTAGTCACTTTAAGGGGTTGAAAGGTAAAATAAATATTTTCTTTCAGTAAATAAGTTTATTCCTTATTTTTGTTATTTTGATATTTTATTTTAGCTACATTGAGTTTCAGGGGCAGGATACTCTTAGCTCTATACTTCATGTGGAGTTCTCTTATGTTTTTTTTTTTTTTTATTTTCAATAGTGTGAGAGGTGTAGAATGGAATCCACGAATGAAATTGCTTCTTCATCAGGAGGTTTGGAACAAAGTATCATAATTGCTCTGCCTTTACAGCAGTTATTTAGAATTTCTATCATAAAGTATTCAATTAAGAGTACTTGGAAGGAAGAAGCAAGAATCTGAGGGCACAATAGAGGTGACACTAAGCTCCCAAAGAAAAGTTTTCTTGCCCACAACCTAAGAAAAAAAATTTTTTTTTCCTCATCCTCAAACCATTGATTTGTGTTAGTTTGAATGTTCATTTAGCGCTTTAAATTTACTTGGTTAGAAGTAAAATGACTTGATTTTAACTATTGAACAAGTGCAATGAGAATCCAGTGACTACAAAATAAAATGAGACACAAGGAAAACTGTATTGGGAAAGACAGGAGAGGAAGGAATATAATTTTATCTTCTGGCCGGTATGCCAAGATTTAAAAACAAAAGTGGTGCTCATGACTGCCCAGCCTCATATCCAAAATGAGGTTGGAGGAGTAAAAACAAAGCTTTTTATCTGTAGGGACTGTAATTGCATTTGCATGATAAATGTCAATTGCCAGACAGTTTTTCTTTCCCCATTGATCAGGATGTTCATCTGAGGTAGAGTCAAATGTTCCTTCCTGTCCTTTTTCAGTACTTCGATACGATACATTTTCCAGCTTAGCTGAAATCTGTTGTTCTTAGGTAGATAATCATGCTCCTTGTGCCGGTTAGATCAAGGTTAAATAACAGTTTGTTGAGGACCTTTAAGTAACGGGAAAAACCTCTTTTGAACTGTTTTGTTTTTCTTTTTTCATCTGCATTTCTCTCTCTTTTTTTTTTAGAACTGTTGAAGTCTGTAACAATGAGTGACCTAGCTTCCTCAATGGTCAGCTTGTTAAGAGGAGCAGGCATCCTGAGTAACATAACTGAAATAGCTGAGAAGACACGGGTACAGGGTGAAAATCAGCTAGCAGATAAGCTGGAAATGGTTAAAGGTGTGGTTACCTGAATACATGATTATTGCATATCTTGAAATCAGCTGTATTGTTATTTTATGATTGCTGACTGTAAAAGATACTGGTTGAGAGGTGCGGTGGCTTCATGGTAGTGCACTTGACTCCAGATCAAGCGCTCCAGGTTTGAGCCCTGGCTGGGGACATTGTTTTGTGTTCTTAGGCAAGACACTTTACTCTCGCAGTGCCTCTCTTCACCTAGGTGTTTACATGGGTACCAGTGAATTTAATGCGGGGGGATAACCCTGTGATGGACTAGCATCCCATCCAGGGGGGAGTAGACTTAAATACTCCTAGTCACTTCATGCTAATGAAACTAGAGTTAAGCATCAGCCTGAGGGGCCACTTGGCTTGTAACCAGACTTTACCTACACCTTATCTAACTTCCTCAATAGCCTTGCCTGCCCAGGAGTTTACATGGGTGCCAGCTAGGGAAACCTGGCAAATTGTGAGACAATTAGCAATGAACCTGCAACTAATATCAAGGGAGGAGCAAAAGTCTTTGTGCAACAGAAATTAGGATATTAACTTGTCTGAGTAAAATGAAGTTGATTTATTTCTTTAGCAATTTAGGTCTTGGCCTTTTTGTAGTGAGCCTTTTTTCCCCCTTTGTACAGGCTTTCTATCTGGTTGCAAAAAATTTGATGCCCCCTTTGTCACCTAAGTTAGGGTTACCTGAAAAAGAAGGAGACTGTGGACATATCAAATGGAAAAAATAATTTCCTCTAAAAATAAAATAGTATCTGAGGCTGTTTAAGACAAAGGTCCTATTTGTGTGTTCCTTGCATGGAGGCTGCTGTCCAAACTGTAACATTAGTAAATGGGATAATTTTTCTTTCCCAAGTGGCACATTTTCATGGGTGGGTCTAAATTGGGTGGGGCTTAATTAAGTAGAACAAATGTGGTAAACAACAGTCATATAAACCTGTGAAACCGCCTATGGATTTCTTTGTTACTATAATCACTCACCACACTGTGCCATTTGGAGGAGATGGTGCTGCCATGATGCAGCTTTGTCAATCTATACGTAACTCTTTTATTTAAAAGAACCATCAATCACTGAAGGAGGGAATATGCTTTTGCCATAGAAACAAACAATAAACTGGAAACAAGTGAAAAGGAGATACAAGAGGACAACAAGGAAATTGAAAAAATGCTGTTGAAAGTTGAAGAAATGAAAGAGAATGTGAAGAAGAAGACCGAGGAAAGGGAACAACTATTTCTAAAGAGGAAACGTCTGAATGATGAGTGTAATGCACTACAGAAAAAACTGCATTGTTGTGACAGTCTCCTTAAGGTTGTCCCCAAAGTAAATGAAGGTGATGAGACTTTATAAACAGCACTACATATGTGCAAACTGTGTATATCAACAACAGGCGGCCAGTCTCTGGACTGAGGAGATACGTCCTGTAGATGAAGGTGGGAAAGGGTGTATCCTTGACATGTGATTGAGGCTGAAATAAATATGTACGAGGCATGAGTTTTACAGAAAGACGAGCGTGATTTAAGAATTCATGAACTAGCGTGATTTGCCTCCTGAAATGTATGTGATCTCTGTATTTTTTTTCTCTCTTTTTGTGTGAACCCAAAGTTTCCCTGAAACCTAGCACACAAGAAGAGAGATTTGGAAGTTTTCCCCTTTAATGTTCTGTGAAAGAGGATCAGAAGCCACCCTTTGATACCCTCTGAGATGTGTACATCTTGGAAATGTTGAGCAAAATTTCAAAGTACATCCCTTGCTAGTCTTTTCCATCCGTTAATGACAGAGGAATAAGATTCCCTTTTCAGTTTTCAGAATTTTCCTCCAATAGCAAGATAGTCATTTGAAGTTTTCATTTTTGTTTAGCATTTGTTTGCATTGCAAAGTACAATGTATTGGACAGATTTTAAACAAAGTTTCCAGTAAATGGAGCTGTATTTTGTGTTACTTACACAGTGGCTTGCAGTTTGTTATTTTTATTGTGCAGTTTTTTTCTTGCAATAATTACTGGTTTTTAGTGCATAAACCCATAACATGTTGTGGAAGAAGAGTAACTGAGGTAATACAACTCTGAAAGTTTCTTCCTAAATGGGCAATTTGATGCCTCAAAATGTTTTTTTTTTTTATCACATTTAAGTGAGGAGAACTTTAGTTGTGTTCATTCTACTTCCTGTGAGCAAAACAAAGAAACTGACAAATCAGAGTCGATGTGCTAGTTGTGATGATTTATTTATAAACAACATTAAATGATGCCTAATTTACTTCCAGTTGTACTGGTGTTGGCCTCCTTTGCAATGATAATTGTTGTTTGGTCATTCTATGTGCAGCCCAGGTGCAACTAGTAACAGTCGAATTACTATCCTGGTACATGGGGAAAAACAGAGTATGCAATAAACACTGCTGATGTATGATTTTGATGTTTTTCAAGGTTTTATGGACGTAAAGAGTATACTCTACTTCTGTTTTGAAATGTTATATCTTATTAACCAAGCGCGAGGGCCGTACTGGGAGAATATCGGCCTGAGGTCTTGACAGTACAGACCGAGCGCAGCGAGGTCCGTACAAAAAAGACCGAGGGCCAATATTCTTCCAGTACGGTCCCGAGCAAGCTTGGTTAATAAGAGATTTATTATACGACTGAAGTTCAAAGGGACACAAGTGCGGTATCATTCGGGACCATTTGGGACAGTGCCTGGTCCAATACTGAGAGAATATTGACCGGCAATAGAGCACTTTGATTGGTTGATTTTAGTTATTGGCCCTCTGACTGCCCAAGTCGTGTAATATATCTAGTTACTGCATGCAGTTCACAAAGAAATAATTGTTACTGTAACAGTTGTAAATATAACGGACAAAATGGAGGAATTGTAATATTTTTTTAAGGTAAAATGTCACTTCTTTGAGAGGAAAGCTCATTGTTATTCTTACTACAGAATAATTGTAACTGTTGTACTATATGCTAACCAAGTTGGAAAAGAAAGAGGATTTTAAGATAAGAGGCTTTCAGGGCTCGACACTAACTTTTCAACTTACTAGTCAGGTGGCAATTAATTAAGTGACATCTTTAATGTTATGACAATTTCAGTTTGTTTACTAGCCAAACTGGCTAGTGGAAATCGAAAACCACTTGCTAAAACTGAATTTCTACTAGTCTGAGGCTAGCGGGCTACCGTTAGTGTTGAGCCCTGGGCTTTGCATTCATTCAGGTTTACCAAATTGATTAAGGTTTTGTCTTGTGTAATGAAAACTGAAGAAAAAGAGATTGAAATAGTTTTATCTGCAACGTGCTGCCAGTAATACAGCTCGAGCATCTTCTGTAAAGACTAGCTAGCACAGGTGAAGGTTTGCATTGAATTTTATGAGTCATTTAGTGAGTGTGAAATTTCATCTGGATGTAATGTATGTTACTTTGTAAAACATGTAATTTACCTCTAGAAGGGCAAGACCTTTTGAGTGAACCTTGTTCTCAAAAGGTCTGTTCTTTTTAGTGGGATGTCTTATTGAATGAATTAATGAATGAATAACTTTGTTTAGACACATGACATGTGAAAAGCTGTTTATTATTCAGTTGAGATTTACAAGGGTTACCGGTAACCCATTCACTCTCAACATGTTATTAGTAATTTTTAGTGTCTGCTTTACGATTCTTATGATGCAAGTCTGGAGAATTTGGTATCATATCAACTAATAATCCCCAAATTGATATCTTTTCTCTATTTTCATCACTTGCTAGACATTGTATTGTTATTGTAAGGAGAATATCTGTCTTGGTCACTTGTGGGAGTGAAAAGGGTTAAACATCTGAGAGACAAACAGCTCTTTATTTACTTGGGTGACTTCCCTCAGGTTGTTGAAATATTAGTTCACAGCCACAGAGAGCAAACTATTTTGCAGGACATTTCTTAGCCAGAGAATTGCACTCTATAGCTGGGTGAAATGAACTACTTTGAGTTACCAAAACTCTTGACTATCAGAGTTGTAGGTTTGTCCATAAAGAGATAGTCTAAGATCATTGACATCATAGTCATGTACATACCGTAATCAAGAATTTTTTCCCTTGTGGATAATGTTATAGCCATCTTGTTTGGGATAATCGCTGGGTAATGTAATGGATTGTGTTAAGAAAAGAAAGAAATATAGTGGAAAAATATTTTTCTAGAGCTGTTCTGTTGTGTGATACCCACATACATACATATATGTATGTATGAGGTGGTCTAAGATCATTGACATCTTAGTCGTGTACATACTGTAATAAAGAATTATTTCCCTTGTGGATAATGTTGCAGCCATCTTGTTTGGGATAATTGCTGGGTGATGTAATAATGGATTATGTTAAAGAAAATAAAAGAGATATAGTGGAAAACATTTTTCTAGAGCTGTTCTGTTCTGTTATGTGGGGGAGGAAGTTGATCGAAGCCCAAACTGGCCAATTTTCTGAAAAAGGGATTCAAGAACTGAATGTAGCCCTTCCTTACCAGATTTGACTAACATGTAACCTAATTCTCCCTTGATATCCATACATTGTCCAGCAATCAAATAATGAGAATATTCAAAGTTGTCAGGTAAAAGTTGCCATCTTGATCTAGCACCAAATTCTCATAACAAATTTACAAGGAATTGTGTGGCAGCTGGAGGGGAGAATTATCAATCATCTTGCGAGTTGAAAATTTGATATTCCAAAGGGACCCCTTTAACTCTCTGAAGAAATTCCTCTGAACCATTCTGCACTTTTGCCTTTTTCTTTTTCTTCTTTAAAGCGATTCCCAGGAATATAGACAACATTTCCCCTCTAAATCTTGGCATTCGATTCCTCCTTAGTCCCCTTCTTCCAAAACAATATGGCGGATAGCTGTTCTGAGCTTGACCTAAATTTAGAACTACCTTTCCCAATTTTAGAGCAAGAGTTGTCCGTAGCGTGCAATCAGGTGGATGAACTTTCTGAGAAAGGAAACCGCCCAAAGGCTGTGGAGTTCAAACTAACTTCTGAGAAATGCTTCATGTGTGAACTTGAGCATAACAGTCCAGAATTTGGACCTTTCTGCGCTGTTTGTCACGACTTTTTATTTCCGAATGCACTACTTGTGCTCGGAACAGAAATCGAAAACACACATTTAGGGGCTACTTGCGAAAGTGTATCATCGCAATCTGCAACATGTGAAAGCAGTGAAACAATTGTCAATTCTGGAGGCGGCGTAGAGTCAGAAGATCCCGAAGATAGTGGATGCGAAAGTGAAAACGAAACTAAACTGTCACCGGAAAACAGCGAACTTGCCATAAACCATCCCTCGATATCACGAAGTAAACTACCCTATTTATCACTTTATGAACATATTAGACCACAAAACTTCATCGCAGAGCGACTTGCAAACGAGTTGAGCTTTGTCGAGGAAGATTTGTTTGGAAAATTACCGCCAGAAAGTGAGTGGTTTTGTTTTTGTTTTGCGAAGTTAAATGTCTTATGTTGCGACTATTTTGTGCTATGCGACGAAAAAAGCATTTTTACTGCCTGCGATGTTGCGAAATTGTGTGAAAGTTTCCCACTATCATAAAAACTGCTTTTATTTTAACATGGGAAATACATCTAGTTGGAATACATGAAGGGAATAAGGGATTGAGAAAGATACCAAGTTGCTTCATTATTATGGAAGGAGAGGAGATGGGCGGGTTGGTCAATCAAAATCCATGAAATTATACTACACATCTTTAAAATATATTTGCAAAATTGAGCTCAAGCTCTGCTGAGATTTGTCATCTGTGGGGGTTAAATAAAATTATTTTTAAAGAATTCACATCCCTCTTTTGAGGATGCAAGATTAAGGATGCATTGTTTTTGTCCTTTACAAGTGCCCTCGTCAACTTGTTATTGCAAAAATGAAGGTGTTGTGGCAGCTTGTTTTGAAAGCAATTCACATGACTGTGTAGTGGCTTCCTGTAGAAACCCATTATTGCAAGTTGTTGCACAGTGTGTTCTAGACTTAAGAAAAGGGACATCCTTTCAGCCTAGATGATATAAATAATACAGACTACAGATAAGGGGGTAGCGTTACCTTTGGCTCAGAAGCAAAACTTATCAGTGCGCGGTGAAAAAAATCATAACATTTTTAGTTTTTTCTTCATCTTGCAAAATTATTTGAGAATGACAGACTAATGCAGCAACTCATGCGACGTGACAGACTTTTCGCATACAAGAAGAAGGGTTAAAATGCAACGTTTTTGTTGCTTTTTATTGCTCTTGGCACTCTCTCTACTGAATGTAACCACAACATCTTCTTCAGCTTCGCCTGGGTATCAAAATGGAGCTGGTTGCTTTGGTTTTGGTGTATTTTTCACAAATATCCTGCCATCTTCAGTTTGCATCAGTGTGCGTGCTAGATCTGTTGGTTTTTTCTGCACCAAAATTTTCCTTAGCTCGTTGGTCGAAACACGGTTCTACCTGTTTAGTTATTGCTGGACACGACCCCCCACTTGATATTACAGTCTGGATGGATATTTCTAGTAATCCACGTCCTACAAACGATTTAATTGATATCTGCTCTGGCGGTTAAAATCTGGTTCATGGCGGAAGTTTTCATACTTCAAGGTCGATTCTAACAACAAGCACATCAAACAATGGACTGGGAGCAAGGTTTGGAATTCCATCGTTAATTCAATGCGGTCAACTGTCATCTCTGGTTATATTAGGCCAGTGTTTCGTACGCTCACGGACGTTCCTATTGATCGATCACAATGTTCTTGTTGTTCGACTTGAACAACAAGCACATCAAACAATGGACCGAGAGCATGGTTTGGAATTCCATCGCTGATTAGAATGCGGCCGACTATCACCTCCGGTTATAATACGCCAGTGTCTCACACACTCACGGGCGTTCCTATTGATAGATCACAGTGCTCTTCACCAATGGAACTAATTCAATGAAACTCTGCTATTTGAATACAAGATCTATCAAAAGCAAATCTACGGACTTTCTGTGCTGTCAGATTGTGTCCTGTGGATATTTTCGCATTTACTGAAACCTGGTTTACCGAAAGAGACTCAGCTCATAGAGCGGAGGTGACTCCGCCAGGCTACTTGTTATATGATCATGCGAGATCTGGACACTCTGGGGGTGGTAGAGCTTTATTGTGCCATGACAGTATTAGCGTAACGAAAATCGCGGCTGACGAGAAAAAGTCATTCAAGTTCTCTGAGTGGATCATTCTTGGTTGGGGCTCTCGGAAAGTCCGCGTCATTGTTGTGTATCACGTGCAGTATTCTTCTTCTCATCCTGTGACTGTTGATGTCTTCTTTGAGGAGTTCTCAGCCTATCTCGACTCAATCATTCTTTCCTCACAGCCGTTGCTGATAATTGGTGACTTTACTATTTGTGTAGCTGTTGTCAGGGATCCTGTTTGCATGAAATTTCTTGATCTTCTCTAAGCAATGGATCTGCTGCAGCATGTTACTATGCCAACTCACGAGTCGGGGCACGCATTAGATCTAATTATCACACGGCAATGCGACGCTCTGGTCAAGGATCCACCTGTTAGCGATTATCTTATATCTGATCACTGGTCTGTTACTTGTCTGCTCAATCTCGACAAGCCAATAATCACCAGGAAGAAGAAAACTTTCAGAAATATTAAGAATATCGACACTGCTGCACTCTCTAATGAGCTTGCTGCTTCAGCTTTGTGTAGTTACACTCCAGACGATCTCAACGATCTGGTGCACTGTTATAACACCACTCTTGCGTCTGCATTAGACCATCATGCTCCACTTGTTACTAGATCTATTTCAGTGCGTCCTCTGGTTCCTTGGTTTAACAGTGATATTAAGGAAGTGAGAAAGGAGAGGGGTAAGGCAGAGAGAAGATGGCAGTGCACTGGCCTCCTTTCTGATTTACGGAGGTATAAGGACATGAGAAATAAAACTAACAACCTTATGATGGAGGCGTGCAGGGTGTTTTACAGAGAACTCATCGATGAGAACTGTGGCAACCAGAAGAGATTATTCTCAGTAACAAAGCGGTTGCTTGGTGGCGGTCGTGAAACTCAATTTCCATCTTTTAAGGATAAAGCTACTCTTGCCAATAAGTTGGGTGAATTTTTCGCCCAGAAGATTGTCACTATTCAGGATAAGCTTGATGAAATGTCAGTTGATGTGTCAACTCGTAACACTGACCCCCAGCCTGAAGTATCTTTGATTGAGCCAATGACCAGTTTCACTCTGCTCACTGAACATCAAGTATGGAAACTGATTGAGGCCATGCCCAAGAAGTCATGTGCGCTTGATCCTATGCCAACTCCCCTTCTTGTTTCCTGTATTGACACTCTGCTCCCTTTTATAACCAAGATCATTAATCTTTCACTGCAGAATGGTATATTTACTGACCAGTGGAAACGTGCCTTGGTCCATCCCCTGTTGAAGAAGCTCGGACTGGAACCGATTTTTTCAGAATTTCAGACCAGTCATGTTACAATTCCTCCATTTTGTCCGTTATATTTACAACTGTTACAGTAACAATTATTTCTTTGTGAACTGCATGCAGTAACTAGATATATTACACGACTTGGGCAGTCAGAGGGCCAATAACTAAAATCAACTAATCAAAATGCTCTATTGCCGGTCAATATTCTCTCAGTATTGGACCGGGCACTGTCCCAAATGGTCCCAAATGATACCGCACTTGTCTCCCTTTAAACTTCAGTCGTAAAATAAATCTCTTATTAACCAAGCTTGCTTGGGACCATACTGGAAGAATATTGGCCCTCGCTCTTTTTTGTACAGACCTCGCTGCGCTCGGTCCGTACTGTCAAGACCTCAGGCCAATATTCTCCCAGTATGGCCCTCATGCTTGGTTAATAAGATATATATATAACTTACAGAAAAGGCCGTGTTCATACAGACGCATGGTCAGATGGTCACCACTAACATCTATCCAGAGCTGCAGTTGTCTTGTCATGTGCATCATAGCACAGAGACAGCCTTGCTCAAAGTTATGAACAATGTTTTCCTGAAAATGAACTCGCAACACGTGTCTCTGTTGATCCATTTGGATCTTAGTGCGTCGTTTGACATGGTTGATCATTTCATCTTGCTAGATCGGCTTACCAAGGTTGTTGGCTTGCAGGGTAAAGCACATGACTGGTTCCACTCGTACCTGTCTGGTCTGAGTCAATGAGTTGCAATTGATGGATTGATGTCAAGGGAATTTTTTTCTGGACTGCGGTGTTCCCCAGGGTTCCTGCCTGGGTCCACTGTTGTTTGTTATTTACACCTCTTCCCTCTTTAAGATCACTGAACATCACCTTCCTCAAGCCCACTGTTACACCGATGACACCCAACTCTACCTCAGCTTCAGGCCAGGTGATGATGATGCCCAGGATGTCACGCACTGCGCTATGGAAGTATGCATTAAGGACATTTGAAAGTGGATGATTGATGGGCAGCTGCTATTGAATGACATGAAGACTGAGTTTCTTGCTACCAGAACTCGTCAGCAGTTAAGCAAACTTCGTTCTTCTAGCATAGAAGTTGGCAACCAGAAGATTGATCGTTCTCTCAGCATTAGGAACCTTGGCGTTATGTTAGATGAATCTCTTGGGATGAACAGCCATATTAACCAGATATGCAAGGCCTCCTTCTATTATATTCATAACATTAGGTGTATATCAAAATACCTATCCAAGGAATGCAGACAATCATTAGTCCATGCTTATGTAACTTCAAGGCTGGATTATTGCAATAGCATATTATATGGGTTACCCAAGTACCAGCCATCAAAATTACAACGCATACAGAATATGGCAGCCAGGCTTATAATGGACACAATGAAATTCGATCATACTAATCCTGTACTATTCAACCTTCATTGGCTGCCATTAAATTGTCGTATTCAATTCAAGATCTTGATGATTACTTTTAAGGCAATTCATGGCAGGGCTCCTAGTTATTTATTAAGTAACCTGATCTGTATTAGATCATTGTCTAGATATTTGTTATGCAATAATAATAATACCATATTTTTAGAAAGTCCAAAAGGGGTTATGCGCACACCTTTAGGTGCCCGCTCGTCTCATGCCTCTGCGTCTGCGCTGTGGAACAGCTTGCCTGTGCATATCCGCTCGATTGATTTGCTAGAGCTATTTAAGAAATCTCTTAAGACCTATCTTTTTAAGCTAGCATTTTAGATTTGCACTACAATCTTATCAGTATTTTGTACTTATTTATTTATTTTTTATTCATTCATTCATTTATTGTAATTATGTATTGTAAATGATATCTTTATTGTAATTATTTACTTTAAATGTTAATTCTCCTGGATTGTAAAGCACCTTTGATCATCCTATAATGTTAAAGGGCACTATATAAGTAAATTATTAGATTATTATTATTATTATTAACATGAACTGTCACTCAATATTGCTTGGTTGCTCCATCATTGGATGGTGCTATCCATGATTTGAATAGGGAAGAAAAAGCTTGACTGTTTCCTTTTTTGTTCCAGTGCTGCTCATAATATTTTCTTTTTTGGACGATATATCTTTGTGTATGGTGGGGCAAGTCTGTCAATGGTGGCAGGAACTCGCTGGAGAACGCAACGAATGGGAGAAGCATGTACGCACTAGATGGCCATTGTTACCGTGCGACCAACAGAGTTCTGTCAAATCCTGGCAGAAACTCTACATGAAGCTGTAAGTGTTGTGAAATGAGATACATCTTGGCATGAATTTTTGTTTTTCACTTGAGATACAGGTTGGAGTAATATTAATTTTAAAATTGAAGCTTTGTGCAAAGTGGGGCAATATGCAGGCTTTGGTCATGATAACAAAGGAAAAAAGAACTCTGAGCTTTAACCCTGTTGATGTTAAGCTTTTGAGGACTAGAAAAGGGAACAAAACTCCTTTTGGATTTTTTTTAACTAGCATTTAAAATATGATTTGACAAGACAATCCCAAAAAAAGAAGTCACAATTTTCTTGTCATTTATGGCTCTAAGCAACAAGTAACAAATCTTGTAGCTGGTTGCACATATATTAGAGGTAATGTTTATCATTCTACCCTATTCTGACACTTGATATTTTTCTGACCAGGGTTTTCATCCTTCATAGAATGGTCTTATAGATATTATCATTTTCTTTAAACATCCCAGGTTACAAAGTGTTGCTTGCAGAAGATGTTTTGAACAGGGATGTGTTCAGGTGAGTTCTGTCATTTATTAAGAGGCTAATGTAGCAGGGTTGTTGGCCATGTAGACAAGATTACATGGCAAGTGCTGAGCATCATACCAGTCTGGCTTCCCCTGACTTGTCATGTCCTGCTAAGCTCCAGTTAGAAGGAATTGTTTAGGCACCATATTCAGGATCTTCCTCCCTTAGAATTATTTGAAAATTTCAATATTAAAATGCATGAAGTAGAGCAAAATAAATAGTGATTTGCCAGTGAATGGAAAATAATTATCTTTGAAATTTTTTACATAGATTGCTGTTGACCATTCATTATATTGTATCACAAATTTTGATCAAATTTAACCTTGGCAGCATTCCCCAGAAGACAACCTCGTAAACTCATGGAGGAACAAAAGACTCAAAAGTGAACTGAGAGGAATTATCATGGATCCCCCAGAGGGCATCCAGGCACGCCCATTAGACAACAGTTTATCATATTGGCAAGCTTCAATAAAGGGCCCGCCTAACTGCCCTTATGAAGGAGGCCTTTTCTTTCTTCACTTGGAAATACCAAAGAGCTATCCTATGAGGCCACCAATTCCCAGATTCATCACAAAAATCTTTCATCCAAACATCAGTTGTCATGGTGACATAGGGGTGGATATGCTCGGACAAAACTGGAGTCTTGCATTGACTATTCCAAAGGTCCTGGTTAGTATACAGTCTCTCTTGACAGATCCCTATTGCCATATCAGTATGGAACCTGACATTGCTCAGTTGTATGAAAGGGACAGAGAACAATATAACAGAATAGCTAGAGAATGGACTATAAAATATGCACAGGTGCATCTGTCTTGCTGACAACAATGCTCAGATCTGTTGAGGATTTTTTTTTTACCAGTGCTACTAAGGAGAAACTAACATATGTTGAGGTTGGTTTATACTTGGTGACAATTTAGTGGAAGACATCTCTGCAACAAACTGCCATTTGTGTTACAGTTACTGTAGTACGTCCAAAACAAGTCACTTCAATCTGTTTTCTCAATGCAGTTATCCACATGAATTCAAATAAGTCGGATTTTAAGTGACCTTTTGAAGGTACAAAATTCTGCTCCATGTCACTTGAAACAAAAGTGTCATATTGACCTGTCCCTGTTTCAGGTTTCAACCTCTTGAACATAGTGTTCCCTAACCTACTGTAAAGTGTTTTTAATTCTTTTTCATGGAGATTATATTGGGTAGCCTCATTGATATGCTGTATTTAAATGGTTAATACTACTAAGAAATTTGCTTGGCGCAAGACATAAGACACTCTGTCTGCTAAAAGTTCAACAGAATGCTACTTACTATTACAATGAAGCCATTGAAAAGAAATCAAATCTGAGGTAATTCTCCCATCACAAGACCATATATTTCATTACAGGCTGTTTGTGATAATCTGGTATCAGGGCAATATCATTTGGATATTAAATATTGTATCTCCTCTCAAGTGATTTAAGATTGTGAGGATTATCACCCTGAGAGGGTGTGAGAGAGTTAAAAAGGATAGTTTCTGTTTGCAGAGTCAGTCAAAAAGTTAAATTTCACTTTTTTTTTTAAGGAAAGGGAGAAACATATTTTAATAAACATTAGTTCATAATCACAAATAGAAAAATATTTAAAGTAACCCCACGAATGCTTATTGGAAAGGAGGCTGTAGACAGCCAGTTTGGTGTGTATAGCACTAATCTGGCTTTAAACAAGATTGAGCTGAATAATTTTCCACTATATGCAATCAAAGTTTTTTTTTAAACTTTGGTAGATATGATACAGACTAAAGTGACCTCTTGTTCAGTAGACAATAGGGACCTTAAGAAACCATGATGGCGACGCCAAAGAAGACTTCGATTAAAAAATGAATTTCTACTCTTAGTTAGAATTTCAAAAATGGCTGCAGGAGCTTACTGTCTCATACAGCGCCACGGCTCAACTTCAGCATGACATATAAGGTAGCCGTTGAGTTCCAAATGGAAGTTTCAGTTCACAGACGACGCAAATTTTGGCGATTTCACATTGTTGTTTTACATAGGACAGCTAAGAAATGTACAAAGTTTCAAAACGCATGTGCTGAGCTATTGTTCTGCCAACTAGATGTCTTGTTTTTCACGTCCTCGTTGCCATCGCTGTCGTGGTTTCTTAAGGTCCCTAATAAGTTGTTGTCAGTGGCTCCTACACAGAGGCAGCTAAGGTAATAGGCCTTTTGCAGCTGGGGTCACGTGATCAATCTTAGATATATATTATGGGATATAACTTGAAGAATACCAGAGATGGAAAGAGCATATCGAAAATACCAAAATGGCCAAGTTTGGGTCCTGGGAATTACAGAGCACTGTTTTTACAGTGGTTTGAACTTTCGGAAAATTTAGAGGATTTGTATGAAAGATGTTGCTGGAGAGCAAGGCCTTGCTCTCCAGCAACTTTTTCCATATAAACCTTGTTATTTATTAAAAAAATTCAGAGTGTCATCAAATCTCATTTTTGAATAATGGAGGCCTCAAACTTGGCCATTTTGTTATTTTCTAAATGCTTTTTCCTTTTCTGAATTCGGCTAAGTTATAGCCCATAATTTCATGAAAAGTAGGTCACGTGATGGCTTAGCTGCAAAAGGCCTATTAAACCTGTGCAGATGCTTTGCCTAACTACTGTATCAAGTTTTCGGTTAACTCTTTAATCCCAAGAGTGACCAGTGTCTAATTTCTTTGTACAATATCACCCCTGAATCACTTATTAAGGTCATGAGAATAAAGGAAATGATCACCCTCTAAAGAAGCTCTTGGTTGTTAAACAAATTCTCCTTGTCAGCACTTTAGGGAATGTACAGAGAACAGTATGGAGAATATAAAAGGGTTAAATACATCACGTAGCCTGGGAGTAGGCCCTTATTATAAGTCCTGTGCCTTGAGCGTTTCTTTGCAGGTCAAGAAACACTCATGCAGTAGTATTTTTAATAAAGACCTGTGGTAATTCTGTGAGGCTTTCCTCTTTATTTCCTTTAGATTTATATAAGACAAGGAAGGAGAAGAGAAAGGTTTCAATTGACATTGTAATAATAAAAATAATAAAATAATACATCTGTCCCTACTCCTTGGGCAATTAGTTTCAATCCATAATTTGCTAGCATTCCTTGTTCTTGAGGAGAATACTGGGGGAAAAGAGGCCTGAAGCTTGATATGATGGGATGGTCACTGCGGCAGAACCATAACAATGCCTAATTACATCAACCTCCATGAAACCTGCAATTATGTGCACATCTATTGCAGGGTTTTTTCAGAAATCATTACATTGTCTGTTTTCACTCACTCATGACTTTACAAAAGAAGTAGATTACCGGCAGTTCTGACTTAACCTTTGATGTTCAAAATTAAATTGGTGTAACTCTCCTTATACAGAAACCTGTGGTCTTAGCCCTCCATTTTATTGATGGTATTTACTGAAAACTTCATATAGTTTCATAGCCCTGTCCATGCATGTTTAAGCAAGAGCAGTGGCAACAAGTGATTTCGTTCTCTCAGGGTGGGATGAAAGATGTCAAAGTCCACCTTTTGGATCTGTGTAAGATAAGTTCGACATGAAACCTATCAAATCAAGAGATTGAGAATTAGTTAATGGTAAAATAGGTATTGGGCAACTTGCAATAATGATACTGAAGGAAATCAGCCTGCCATACTGGGTAGCAAGTAATGCATTGGAACATTTTTTTTTCACTATGAAAGTCATTTTTTGTGCCTTATGTGCCCTGAAGAATGCTCTTCTATATGACATGTACAGATTTGTACCACTTAATTGATTGGCCAAGAGTTTTCTTTTAGGGGAAAAATATAAACTGGAGGGGAAAAAGGGGGGAAAAATATAAACTGGGGGATTGTTAGTTAATCCAATACCACATTCACAGAGCTAACATTGTATGAATTGTATAGCAGACGGTAAGGAGGATTATTGATGAGATCAAAGGGGTAAAGCCTAAGGATCATGGAAACGACAGGTACCCTTAGTCACTATATATCAGATAACATCTTGACCAAGTTGTTAGCTGATCACTGATTGACTACTGGCCAACTGTCGATTTTTGGTCAACTGACCAGATGTGGTGATTTATGAAACATATGAAGATTAAAAAAAAATTACAATAAGGTACAGGATATGGATTAAATATATTTGTATCCATCCTTGATTAAATAGTATCTTCTGAATTGACTTTTAACATACCATTGGCAAAAATGCTCTTGATGCTGGTTTAGGGGCGTCAGATATCAGTGTTTGTGCCTGTGGTTACAAGCATTAAAAAATTCATTTTAGGAAAAATGAATGTTCCATAAAATATCTGAAAACTGAACCTTTTAACTCTGAGATTTGATTGTTAATTCTCCCCTCTAGTGGCTACACATTTACTTGTAAATTAGTTATAAGAATTTGGTGTTAGATCAAGATAACAATTTTTACTTGATAAGTTAAGTATTTTCATCAATTGTTTGCTGGATTTTGTATGGAAATTATAGGGAGAAGTTACATGTTCATCACTTCTTGGAGTTAAAGGGTTAAACACATACTTTTGAAAGATGTGCGTGTGCCAAACTGGCCAGCTCATATGTAACTTCTTTCACTGGCTGTTGTTTTCTTCCTCTGATAATATCCTCGTGTGATACCCCATGCTAGCAATAAAAAGAAAAGAAATGTTATAGTGAAAGATGTTTGTGTTTTTCCATGGCCATCCATGGGACAAAGAAAATAAATCTGAGTTTCCCACAAGGACTTGAACATCAGGCCCCAATTGTTCGAAGGATGGATAATGCTATACACTGGATAAATCTCTATCCGGTGGATAGCAGAGTATGTTTTGGTAAAGGCTGATAGTTTCGAAAGAAACTGTTTGGGGCTGCATCGGTGGGAGTAACGAAATAATTTGGATATATCAACAAAGTTGAAATGGTAAATTAGCCACCGTAATGATTACAAAAGCTGACGTTTCGAGCGTTAGCCCTTCACAGCTAAGAAATGTA